TGGTATAGGCGGGGTTATCTCCCAACTGATGTGGGCTATCCCAAGATCCCAAACAAGATCCCAAGATCCAGACTGTTTGAAACTATGCCATCTGGGTCAAATTGAGATGTGCACATTGAAAGATCAAAAAACCGTTGTAGTAACACAGGTTGTTCGAAAATTGGCCAGCCATTTGATGTATACAAATATGTGTATATATATACAAATATATGTATATATACGTATATATATATATAACTATATATATATATTTTTTGTTCATGTGATTCCCTTCCAAACAGCCATTCTCCCACACCGGCTGGAGCTCAGGAGGACGTTTGTGGCTTCGCCTGGGCCTTTGCCACCCAAAACGGCACCGCAGTGACCTTCGACGCCATCGCCAGATACGCCGAGAGGCGGGGAACGCTCGGTGGCAGGGGGAAGGGGTTTCTTTATTAAGGGGGGCTTCTTCCCCAAAAAACATGTGGGCCAATTTTTGGGTGATGGTTTTTTGAAAAATAAGTAAGTCATACTAAGTCAATCTGACATTCGATCAGGATAATCTATCTACTCCCAAATCAGATGGCCACATCATCCATGAACATGGCCACCCACGACACGCTTACCTTGCCAAGTCACCAGCTCGGTTCCAGGTATGCAGGGCGCTTGAGACCCGCAGAGGTAAATCTCTTGCACCTCTGGCGCAAAGGGAGATACAGTTGGCATGATGATGATGATGATGATGATGATGATGTGTGAAGCAGCGAAAATGGTGAACCACGGTGCTCAGGTGTTGGGCCCTCAATGGACGAGCACAAATAGGTCCCCGCCTGCGGGCAGCACAAAGGTAGAAAAAGTAGCGCTGGACGGCAGAGACTGCGATGGGTGAGATGTATTGGCCACTCCACCTAGAAACGAGATTTTGGAAGGGCACCTAATATTCAGCATGGTTGAAGTCATCATAAATGTTGGTTGTGGTAAGGGAAACCATACCAAAACGACATAAAATGACCCTATTTCAGTTGGGTCCATCAGTATATATCATTATCCAGACTCATTGTTTTGTTTTGATGCCATTATATATTGGATATTATTGGCATCTTGGGCATTCAATGCTGGGAGGACAACTCCAATTAGGGCAGCTATCATACGCCATCTATGGAGGAACATGATTCGGCCCAGATGCTTGAGATGATATGTCTATGTTGATAGAGATTGTGGATGATGAAAGCTTATGTTCCCTCTGGAACTGGGACAGCTACTCGGCATCAAGCAAACTTTTATGGCATCCTTCATACGAGTCACTCTGATGCTGGACCCATACATGCATGCGTGCATGGATGCATACATGCATGGCATGGCATGGCATGGAATACCATGCCATGCCATACCATACTGTACCATGCCATACCATACTGTACCATACTGTACCATACTGTACCATACTGTACCATACTGTACCATACTGTACCATACTGTACCATGGACCATACCATAACATGCATACATATATTATTACATAATTTATGTGTATATATATATGTGTGTGTTTTGCTATAAGGGACATAATCACACATGCTGCAAGTAGAGTTGTTAGTCTCAGTCCACTACACGATGAGATTAATTGAGTTTTGGAAGATGACGTTTAGATGTCAGGTGTTTTTTTGGATTGCAACTGTTATTTGTGAATGCAGCTGTTTCAGGAGGGGCGACATCAGTGATGTTTTTTAGGCCCAGAATTGCCCGGCTTTTCAAGGTGTCAACTTGCCAACCAGGTGCCCCGTAACTTCCAGCTTCCAGCCACAATGGTCCACCACATCGATGTGTGAGGATCACAACTGCAACAGACACAGAGCCCACCACCGACACAGTGACGCCACTAAAAACCCCGCCGGGGTTTTGGACCCATGGTGGCTTCAGCCTTTCGATAGCCACAGGTGCGTTGAAAGCAAGGAAACTTGCAGTTTGACTTGGTGAGAAGCATGGACATTGGTGGTATACTTAATATACATGTACATGCTATATGTACATGCTATATGTACATACTATATACCGTATCTTTGCGATTGATCATGAGTTTATTTGCCCTTATTCAAAACATCCCAGTCTTCGTGTGTGGGATGGCATGGTCGGATTCAAGGTGGCAACAGATCAGATCTTCGGAATTCTTCAAAACCCCAATTGGTTGATTGTAGAGATTATAAGAACCAATATATTATGGTAAGAATGGAGAACAATGGTTGGTTGCTGATTACATGGGACGAATACTAACCTTTATATATTGGGGATGATCACAATTCATTTTCACGGTGAATCCCGTTCTCAAGCAAGCATGCCCAGGCTGCCGGGTTGTGACCATGGCAGAAGGCGGATATCCTGCTTCTTGGCAGATTCACTCCACCGTGGATCTGTGTCCCTTTATTTATGTATGTTATATGTACAGTAGCTGGTAGCTGTAGAATCCAACACCGAAATCCACTGATGGGTCATGATATGTCATGATATTCACAATTCGCGGCAAATAAACATGGTGAAGATGACCAAGCTGATGTTCCTAGAACGGCAAGGTGAAAATGCGGCACTCCGACAATCCAACACTTGCTAGTCCTACTTCGACTTAGGGAGTAGTTCAAACCTTCAGAACCATGATCAGCAAGTCCCCTAATTGCTTGCTTTGCTATATAATCCCATCCCCCTATTACTATAGTGTTAAACACCCCCCAGAGACCATTGTTTAGTAGCGGATTTACACATTTGGAACCATTTCTATATACATATTTTTTGACATATTTTGAATTTAGCAGATTAAACCGATATATAAACCCGATTTTGGCATCCCTGATATTGCAGGTGATACAACGAAATTCCCATCAAATGTATCTATAAAACAGTGTCGCTCCAACCTGTCAGAGGTGATTCATAGCCACAAGGGCCTCACACGGAGGCTAGACTGGCCATCTCAATCCATATTTTACTAAATTTTACAATGTTTTACCATATCTTACCATATGGGGGTTTCCTAAAATAGGGTACCCCCACTTATCATGCATTTTAGATTGGGATTTTACATGAAATAAACCATCCAGCTGCATTGGGGTACCTCCAATGATCCCCTAGGCCACTGTGGTCATCGGCTGTGGTGACTGCGAATGGTCCAAGAAGACGTTTCAGCTGAAGCCCCAGCGGCGGAACAAGGCGGCAGCGATGGCTTGGGGGGTTGGGGGATTGAAACTAGCCTCTGGTGAATAATGGGCAATAATTAGTGGTTAATAGTAATGTTGGTTAATAATATTGATCATTGTTGATTAATGGTGGCTTACCCTCTGGTAAACATACAAAAAGCAATGGAAAATCCCCACGTGTCATAGATAAATCAACGAACTTAATGGGCCATTTTCAATAGCTATGTTAAATTACAATAATGGCGGTAAAACAATGTCATAAACCACCCATGACTGAGAATGGTTGGAATCCCACCTATAAAAATTGTGATGACTGGGGGGTTCATATTGTCTTACCCACATTAATCATGAAGCCGCTCAATTTGGAATCAACGATTAATCTTGGACACTTGGGGAATCAGGGGATTCCAATCCCATGGAAGGATCAAATGGCAGCCACTTTTGGAGAGTAAATGAGTCATTTTACCTCTAAATTTACCTCTATATGTACCTCTATATTTGCCCCTCTACTTGGGCTTTCTGGACCTGGGGAACTGAGCCATGAAGAAAATAGCTTAGTTGATTGGTGAATTTGTTGGGACTGAAACTATATGTTGTTGTGAGCGCTAAAAAAACGAAATCTTGGGGATATATAGCCTTGATACTATGGATGGTTTCATGTTTTTTTGCGCTCACAACAGCCTGCGTAAGTAGGACGAATCATTTGATATACTAAGCGACCAATGTTTGCTGTTTGCTGTCTAACCCGAACTGCAAAATCCTCCAACCCGAACTGCACAATCGTCTCAAAAGAACTGCGAAATTGTCGTCTTCGCAGTGCTTAGTCCTGCGAAGATTCGCGGATTGACTCACGACTTCTTCCTTTCGACTGGAGCGAACCAAAAGAAAACGAAAAAAACAAAATAACTAAAAAAAACAATGTTTCCACAACTACTCTGATGTCTGGACTAGTTGCCAAATCTTTGTTTTTTTTGTTTTTCCGAAGTTTTGCATCCCAGGATTAATCCAGATTAATCCACATCAATTCTGCTTCATCCCTTCTCAAACGCATCATCTGTCAAATAAGCAGTCATCTTTGGGTCACAGCTGTCATCTGTAGCCTTGCCTTTCTTTGCTTCGTCGTCATCATGGCTGGCCTCTTCAACCAGGCGTGTGTAGCTGCAGGGTGCCTTCAATGCACGAGCTTGGAGCATCCTGTGGGTCGCGTGCTGGAACCGACTTATGAGCTGACAGCCTTGCCATTGAAGCCCATCGAAGGCAACACCGAGCTGAGGACTGCAATTGAAAAGGTGCTCTATGAACCCACGGAGGGTGATGAGTTGGATACCATTGCAGATCTGGTCAGCAGCAAGTCATACCAGAATCTTCCACAGCCTTTGGCCCTCAAGGATGCCCTGCCCATACCCTTCACTTTCCAGCTGGTCTCCCGCAAGCAGAATGACACCACATACGAAGTCCTGAAGCATTACATCTTCTCCCAGAAGATTGATGTGCGCGGGCTGCAGCGGGTTGCTACTGGAGATCTCTTCACCATAGACTATGGCAAAATTTTCCGGTCAGGCTCTCAAGGTTGCCAAAATCAAACCAGCTGCCTAATTAAGATCACTTCAGGAACGAGTCAATTTAGGATTAATCCAGATTAATCCTTAGTCATGTTATATCTTGGTGCCTTCAGTAACATCTCTGTGCAGGCATTTTCCGTACCTGTCTTCGGAAGTTTCCGATCTTGTCTTCGGAAGTGTACGTGGCTCCAGGTATCCTGAACCTTGGCCCTGTAAGATCCTGTAAGTAACACCCCCTGAGCCATGGATGTGCGTGGACGAGCCATTCTGATGCCAGGCAAAAAGATCGTCTTGGAGTTGGAACCTCAAGCCAACGCAGGGCAACAACCTGGTACCCCTTCAGAACCTGAAGTTGTTATCCGGCAGATTGCAGATGGCACCTTGCTGGTGCACCCGTCCAAGGCCACCATCACCGCCCGCCGGATCCAGATGCAAATCTGCAACATCCAGCGTGGCTTTCAACTCGTGGTTGGTGCCAATGGTGGGTGGACTGGCAGTGAAGCTCAAGCCAAGTTGCTGCAGTGGCTTCTGAAATTTGAACAGAAGCGTGCCCGTACTGCATCTGCATCTCGATCCCCATGCCCAGGATTGGAAGATCAGAGGCTGGCTTTGGAAGACAAGAAGCCTGATGAGCAACTTGCTGCCTCCAGCTCTCCACAGGCTCCAGTGCCTATGGCTTTGACGTGGAAGACAAGAAGCCTGATGAGCAACCTCCCGCTTCTCCACACTCTCCGACACCTGGGGCCCTGATCTCCGAGGACGGGGCTTTGGCCTCTGATGATGGGGTCGAAGGGCAGGCTTTGATGACCCAGCCAGATCGCACAACTCATGACAGTGAGAAGTCTGTGAACTCGTCCTCTTCTTCATCGGCATCGTCATCATCTTATACCTTGTCACCTGCTCGGAAGCTGTACCATAGCCGTGCCAACATTCGTAAGGCACAAGCAGCTATTCAGGACATGTTGCCAATTGTGTCTGGCGCCTGCGTAGACTGCGCAAATTCATTGAAATATGTGCAAGAATTGTTGGACAATGCCATGTGATTCATATGTTTGAAATGTCTTCATGAAAAGGTTAACTTCATGTGTTGACATATATATAGTGCCGGACATATACTTAGAACATTGGTTTTGGAATTCCAAAACATGTTCTAAGTAGAGATCCTGGACCACTACTTAGAACATATATGTTCACGGGATGTTCTAAGTAGAGGTTTTGGGGGTTCCCCCATGTTCTAAGTAAGAATCTCCCCAGCTATCTACGTGCATTTTTGGAAAATCCTGTGTATATATAATATATTTTTAATATTGTAATTGTCCGGCACTATATATTCATATAATAAAAACTTTCCAAACCTGATGTTCGAATTGTAGCCTCTCACCTAGAGCATCCGGATCCATTCGCTCATTTTGTTCAGCTCAATATATGTCCCGCTGTAGGATCTCGAATCTCGAATCTCGTCCCGCTGTAGGCTTTGGACCATTCCAACCGCTCAATCGGTCATATAATTTCAATATACCTCAATATAGACATCTCCATGTATCTTAACGCAACATCACAACACCTGTATATATAATATAAATATGCAGTGTTAAGTTGTATGTATGTATACATATACATATATTTACATGTATATATGATGGCATGTTCTAAGTAGAGGATCCTCATATGTTCTAAGTCACTTAGAACATACGTCCCCCTATTCGCCGAAAATGTTCTAAGTAGAGCGCGCGTACCCACCGAAAAAATTCCAAAACGATGTTCTAAGTAGTTGTCCGGCGCTATATATATATATAACATGAAATTGAGTTTTCTGACCTGTCTAAGTGTCTTGGCTGATGTCCTTGCGCATATTTATATCATCTATGTCTCATGCTCTGCAGGCAGCAAGCATGATGTGCTGTATAAAAAGGGCAGCTTGCATGACAAATTTTGGCGCTCACAACACCCCCCCTCCCTATAGTTATTGGGGTTTATGATAGGCCATAGTTTTTCAACCAACTAGCATAATGAGGTGGGATAGGGGTATTTTTTTATGGCTCGAGTGACTTGAAAATGTCAAAGCTTAAATCCCCAAGCACTTTGGGAGTATTTTAACAATTGAGATGCTTTCTTGGTGATAAATTTGTATTATTATGGAAAAATAGATTATTAACCAGAATTGGGATTTCTCCCATCCCCTATTGAACATTGTTAAAGATCCCCACGGTTAATTCTCAAATATGTGTCTTCAGCCCCTACTAAACCATGATTTCTGGGGGCGTTCAATATGAACAGGGGAAGGGATTACATTTGGTTAGGTCACCTCTGGTTTTGCAAAATCCCCAGTTTTTGGGCAGGGCACTAAGTTTAGTCGTAATAAAAATATTTTGGTGGTCATCCAATCAATAGTCAAGGTTTAATCTGGGGTTGGCAGTACTTTGGTTGGTGGTTGGTCACTTAGTTTATTTATTTTGAAAGGGTTTGTAATGACCAGAATGAGAATATGATGGGGGTCTGGGATATCATTCGGTCATATAATGGGGATGCGATTTGAAGGTCTTTTGCCATGAGTTAAGGGAATTGGAGCCAAGTATATGTATATATGATTGTCATGTTTGATAGTTGATTGGTCGGTGGGTGTATAGCTAGCTCATCTCAATCATGTGTGGTTGGTGGTAATCTTTGGCTGCAATAGCACGATGATCCATGGTGGTGAATTGGTGTGTATAAAACCGACCATAATGGAGAAATGATGGGAATATGACCACAACATGATTTGGTTTTGTCTCAAAATGTTGAATTGACCTTCCAGATGCTGCCAATTGAATGGGGAAAACGGTGAATTTTAGCATGGGGGTCATCCACGACCCACGGACATTGGACATTTAACAGGATGAAAACTAAGTGTTTATTGTGGCTGATGATTTACCATTTAGTTTATGGTTTAGATCAATCATATATGGCTGCTGTTTCAGGCGGTTCTTCATTTGATTCACCCAAAAAAAAGATGGGGGTTGGAAGCAGCAACTACGCAATGGTGATGGAAGTGAACAGCACCTGGCCTGATT